TGAAGTTTTGTACCGTTACTTTACATTTAGAATAAGATATTCTAAATGTAAATATGTCCTTCATAAAGATATCAAATTAAAACACATATTTTTATAAACTGAAAAAAAAAAAATGAAAACTAGAATGTACAATAACTAAGAATCAAAATACAAGCACTCATACAAAAAGAAACAAAACAAAAATTAGCTACTAAAAAAAACACAATTATTCAACCTACAAGTTCAAATTCTGTTTTCACCTCTGAATTGTGGCGGCGATCTAGCATGGTGGACTAGCTGTAGCATCTTGTTGAAGCTTGCAGATAGAAGTGGAACAGAATTTGAAGTTTATTGAACTTGTTATCTCGTCTTATTAGTTACTGAAATCACAATTAAATGTATATAGATATTCAATATATTTTCTAATGCTAATACATTATCTTAACAAAACTAGTTGAGTTTGTCCGAATCCGTACCTAATAATGTATCTCTGGCCCTGGTGGTGGAGGTTGATCAAGAGGAGGAGGGGGACTCCAATGAATTTCTACATTAGGTTTTGGTGGTGATGGTGTTGGTATGATTCTTCTCTTTAAACCTCTTAGCTCTCTAGCCACCATGTGTTGATGAGATTTAAACAATTCATTGTAGGAATAATATTGAAGGGATCTTGCATTCACACAAAGGCTACTAGAAAATTCATGGATGAACAAAAATATCAATAGACATGAAACTATAATATTTGGCCTCATAATTCTTTCAAAAAAATTGTAGTGTGAAACTAATGAGTTTTCTGAAAATTATAAGTGAGAATTATGTATTGGTGTTTGGTGAAAAGAATTATGGATCACTTATTGCATTTTCTTTTCCCTTTAGCCTTTTTATTATTTAATTACAACTTGTAAATATAATTGTCTATATTTTTGTTTGTTTTCATGTGGATATTTCAAGATAGTCAATATATACCGCGTTATTACTTCTTGATATTAAAGGAATATTTAAATTAGTCCAACAAAGTTTTATTGTATTTGACTTCTCTTTTTACATATATGAGTGTGTTTGGTACTCCTATTAATTTGATATATAAACATAAAATATTATCTTTAAGAGTATCAATATATATTTTTGATGTATATTCAGTATATAACAAATAAAAAAAATTGCGATAATTATTTAACAACAGTAATAAATATGAATATTTTATATAAATGTCAACAAGAACGTTAGCAACTTTAGATATGATGACATAATTTAATTGTTGTTGCTAAATATTTTTACGACAATCAATATTATCGCTAAAAAGAAATATTATTGCCACTAAATATCTCTTTTGTTGTAATTAATGACTATACAAATAGAGTGAGGCGATATTGGAATTGGAGATGACGCCAGGTTATATAAACATATATAGAAATGACTGATTCATCTGAATTCATAACTCTCTACTAGAAATAGAAATATATATCTAAAAAAAAAAATTATTACAATTTACATTTGTCGAGTCTTATCAGAGTTGTTTAATTTTCGTTGCATACGTAGTAAACTGAAATTTTTGGCCACATAATGGATAGTCAAATTCTAATAAAGTTTTCAACCTTTGCGGCATATAAAAAGAAAAATACAATTTGGAGTATAGTACATTTTTCAAAAGGAAATTTTAATTAAAGTAGAGAAATTCTAGGTCAAAAGTAGACTTTGGAACATTGAACATATTCATCATTAATTTTATTTTTATTTAATAATAATTTTCAAAAATATTTATTAGATAAAGTTTGGGGCTAATATTAACAACTTCTTCTTTTTTATAGTTTTTTTTTTTAATTTAATTTTCTTTTCTTTTCTTTTTTTTTTCTTCCTTTTTCCTTTTTTTTTTTACCCTCCCTAGGAGCTCCCACCCATTTCGCTCTCTTGGTGACTTGAACTCGCAACTTTCAAGTTGGAAGTGAGGGGTGCTTACCATCCGAACAACTCCCTCCCGTCTCTTCTTTTTTATAGTTAAAGTTAATATAATATCTCTTTTTTATAATATTTTTAAATCTAGCGAGTTTGACTTACAAGAGCAGAAAAAATTGTTTTTATTAACACTGCTATTAATTTCCACCTCACCTAACTTCCAACTATGAAGCTCATGACATATCTTCTAAGCTAATTTGTCAACATTATTCTCATAGTTTATCTTCTCGTGTTTCAAGGAGAATTAAGATTTGAAGTTTATGAATTTTATATTTATTATGAAATTTAAATTTTATTTTGGTTAAGTATTGTTGAAAAGTATGTGATTATCTCATTTCAAAGCAAGTTTATATCAGAGTAGGTAGAAGTTCTGAAATCGAATTTCACGGATACTTATTATCAAAAAGAATTTTTCCTTGTTTAGCTCATGAAAAAAAAATCAAACATGTATCTGGAACGTATTGAGAATATAATTAAGTAAATAAAAGTGCTCTTACTTACATCCTCAAGCATATAGATCTAGGTCTTGAGATCAAATCTCATTGCCCCGGTACTCATTATCAAAACGAATTTCAAGTGTTTGACCCATGAAAAATAATCAAGTCGGCACTTGAATGGCTTATATTAAGAATATAATTTAGTAGAGAGAGGTTTTGAAAATACCCTTGAACTTGACGCAAATTATTAGTTTCGTCCCCGAACTATTGACAGTCTTAAAAACACCTCTCTACTCAACTAACTAAATTTAGATACACTGTCGATCTGCCACTTGACATAGCAAGTGGTCACAAACTCTCGTAGGAGCATGAGACTCTTAATAAATAAAAAAATAGAGAGAAGTGTTGAAAACACCCTTAAACTTGTCGAGATTTTGAGGATGTATTTCACTCATGTTGCAAGATTGAGGGTTTATTTAAGTTTAATTAGTCGAGTAAAAGAGTGTTTATAAGGTTGTCAATAGTTCGAAAATGAAACTAGTAATTCGCACTGAGTTTAACAATATTTTCAATACTTCTCTCTTAAGTAAATAAAAATATGATCTCTCTACTAGTTTATTCTAATATAAATACAATATCTAAACAAAAGTTATTGAATTCCTACGTATCCTTACCTAATATTATAGCTCCACCTCTTCTAGTAGGTCACTATGAAAATAGCTCTCCACTTTATTTTGCTTCTTTTGATTCAAGATTTTTCTTCCTCATGGAAATTGTGCAACATAAACAAGAAGCCCTTGGGTCCTGCAGTTGTGTTTGGCCGTCGACCACCTTACCGGCCACCACCGTCTCCGAAACCTAATCCACCAATACGTCCTTATAAGCCACCAATACGTCCTTATAAGCCACCACCATCACCGCTGCCTCCACCACCACCACTATATTCGCTCGTAACGCCACCGGCACCTTATCCCTAGCTAGGTCATCTTTAATATGATTACTTAATCGTGTATGTTTATGATCATACACTAGTTATTGTTTTGCTATTTAAATTTGAATAAACTAATGTGTATGTCGATCTGTTTATGAGATAAGATCAAAAATAAAGATTTCAGGGCTTTGTTACATTCTGATGAGAATTATTTGTATTTTTTCTCAATTTGTATTATTGTGTATCGATTGTACGTCTCAAAATGTTATATACTATTTGTTGATGATATTTATTTTTTAAAATCATATAGCTGAAATGGAGGTGTACGTTATCGATGTTATATATATGATAGAACTTAGAAACATACTTATCAAAGTGAAAGATAAGTTATATTGAACAATTATAAGAAGAATCATATATATGGTGGTTAATTGTTAGGTTACAATGCAAAGATACGAATGCTAAAATAGATATCCTTTCATACAAAATTAGATAACTAAGATTAAAATGATTACATTCTCAGGAAGCTATAAGTAGCACACATTGAATCTAAAATATGAGTGATCGTCATTTGAATATTCTGAACATGTCTTGTGTCGACCTACAAACTGATTCATAACTATGAAAATGATAAGTGATCGATCAAGGTGTTAAAAGGATATAGAATAAATCTATAATCACGTAAAAAAAAATTGTCTCGATAGACCTATAAATCGTTGATATCAATGCAAGACTTAAATATAAAGATAAAATACAACAAAAGAAAAAGATCCATATAGGTGCATGTGATATTTACTCATTATTAATTGGTGTACTCCTAATTATTACAAGGATTTATTAATAGGTGTCTCATTTGAGTAATTGAGTCAATGTCACAAAATAATTATTAGTGACATATTTGTCCCTTTTGTCGTTAAAATTAAAGCTTAACCAATAGATTCAAAATCTCTCTTTTTAACAAAAATGGGTGACTATGATCGATCGAGCAAAAGAGCTTAAGGCCTTCGATGACATAAAAGCCGGCGAAAAAGAACTGGTTGATTCGGAAATAGTTTATATCCCCAAAATCTTTGTTACATCAGTTAAAACAGTAATGAGTTTAATGCTAAGAATTTTAATTTAAGCTCAAATATAGTTAAACGTTCAAATTCCGGTTATATATGTCGAGGGTATAAATAAGAGACGATTTTCGAGTAGGAGAATTGTTGAAGAGGTAAGTGAAGTAGGTAAGAAAAAGAGATAGGAACTCCTAGAAAGTGATAAAAAGAAATTGAAAAAAACCTATTATTTTTAATATAACCTTAGATCTAATTAAACAATCTCACATTTAATTATCCTTTTCCCACTAATCAAACGACCCCTTAATTAAATACTCCCCCTTTCATTTTATCCGAAACCCTTTTCTTTTAACTTCGTCCAATAAAAAATGTCACCTTAACTATAATTATAAAAAAAAAAATAACTTTAAAAATTCTCCTTTTACTTTGAAATGATTTACAATCTCACAAATATATAAGGATTGTTTCAGATCATAAATTTCAATTTTTATTTTTTTTTAATATTATGTCAAATCAAACGCTGCCATGAAACATCAGAAATTTTTGCTTGGCCAACAAGTCCAAAGAGCTCAAATAATTTTAAAATATGCTACATGTGTCTCATTCGAATCAACGTGTAAAAAGAAAATTTGACACATGCTTTGTCCTTTTTGCCTTCCCTTATCTTATACTCCTATTTTTAGATCTACATCTACAAAATAATTAAAAGCTTAATACATTCACTAACTTTTTGGAAGAAAAAAAAATGGTAGACAATAATCGAGCAAAAGAGCTCAAGGCCTTCGATGACACAAAGGCCGGTGTAAAAGGACTAGTCGATTCAGGGATAGTTCATATTCCCGAGATCTTTGTTACACCATCCTTAACAGAAAATGAGTTCAGTGCTAAGAATCTTAATTCTTGCTCAGATGCAGTCAATGTTCGAATCCCAGTTATAGATATGGAGGGTATAAATGAAGACGATTTTCGACGTAGGAGAATTGTAGAAGAGGTAGGTGAGGCATGTAAGACTTGGGGATTTTTTCAAGTTGTGAATCATGGTGTACCTCAACATGTTATGGATGAGATGATTGGTGGAATTAGAAGTTTTCATGAGCAACCAAATGATATAAAGAGGGAGTTTTACTCAATGGATCCTATGAAGAAGGTGATGTTTAATAGTAATTTTGATCTTTATCAAGCTAAGGTTGCAAATTGGAGGGATACTCTAGCTTGTCTCATGGCTCCTAATCCTCCTACTAATGATGAATTACCACAAGCATGCAGGTAATTTTCTACTAATTATACCTTCTTCAATATTTATCGTAGTATCAGTTGTCAATGTGAGATATTTTGTGCACTGACTCTGTTTTCTGGAGTGAAACTTCCGCAAAAATGTTTATTTTTTGGAACTTCTAAAGAAATTCATAGCTATTATTCTTTCGATACATACTGGATAAACATAAACCCCTCTTGTGCAATAGCTCGCAAACCACACATTTCTGACTTTTTTTGTCCTTTTGTTAGGGAGGAATTACTTCAATATTCTCAACATGTTAGAAAGTTGGGCCATACAATATTTGAGTTACTAGCAGAGGCACTTGGGCTTAAGCCCAATCATTTATTGGGCATGGACTGTGCAAAAGGCCAATTCATAATTAGTCATTACTATCCACCTTGTCCTGAGCCCAATAAGACTCTTGGAATCACTAAACATACTGATCCAAATTTCTTCACAATTCTTCTACAAGACCAAATTGGTGGACTTCAAATTAATCACCAAAATCAATGGATTGATATTCATCCTGTGTCTGGAGCTCTAGTTATCAATCTTGGTGACCTTTTGCAGGTAAGTATATCTAGTCAGACAGATTTACTGTTTACTTTTTTAAGTTGGTATACATAGATCTTCATACATATATTATAGATGAATTATACATTCACTGACTTTTTTTACAGGTAGTATATCTAAAACAAATTACATATGTCTAGTCACTAGTGACATGGACTGATTCTAGAGTGTTGGTAGTGAGCTCGATTTGACGTATTATTTCTAGCACACGCTATAAGTATATATGCGATAAATCGTGAATAATAGTATATACTATAAGGATATCTCTTGTATGGCTTAATGGTATAAGAAAACTATATTGAACGATATATATAACTTAAACTCATTTTGCAGCTTCTATCGAATGACAAGTTCAAAAGTGCTGAGCATAGAGTATTGGCAAAACATATTGGGCCAAGGATTTCAATTGCATGTTTTTTCACAACTCAACTTTTGCCATTTGATACACTTTATGGCCCAATAAAGGAATTGTTGTCTGATGAAAATCATGCTTTGTACAAAGAAACAACAATAAAAGATTATGTGTTATATTACAATTCCAAAGGACTTGGTGCTCTTCCTTCACTTCTACATTTAAAGCTCTAGGATGGAAAAGTGTATATTATTTCACTTGCAAGGCTACCATGTGTAATTCGAGTTTTTAGGGTTCGTTTGGACATGATTTGTAATAGAATACGATTTGAGATATGACGAACTTTAATTAAGTTATCTTGTAAGTTTTTAAGATATCGTATTTAATAAAATTTTATGTCCTTGAAGGACAAGACTGCATGATTTAGTACACCGTGATTTGAAATGAATGTTGAAATTGCTAAATTGGATAAGTCTTGAACTTTGCTAAAATATTTATGATTCTTATATGACTCCTTAACTATTTGTGAACCGCAGCACTAGGCTCACAGAAATCTCATATGTTTACGGGCTAATTACATTCTGTTTTGAAAGTTTCTTCAATTACACAAATTCTGGATTTTTTATCGCTATATGATGGATACATTCATTGATTGTCCGATACAATGCAAATGATACATTACTTAATGGGAGGGATGTATTCTAGAGGGGATATGGATGTATCAGAGAGGGGATTTTTGTAAAAAAAAAAATGATAGAGAATTTTAGAGATTATGATATCTTAAGTTGTGTATTTATGTAATTTTTCCCATATTTAAATGTTTCTTATAAAATGTTGATTATAAAATTCAAGACATATTTTCAATGATTATATGGTAACTCTTTTCTTTTGATTTTACACGAGACAAATTGAGATAAACTTTTATTTTGAATAGATAAAAGGGAACTGTTCAGATGATACACACCTCTCATTTTTAATCTTAAGATTATGAATTCGAATCATCATAAAGTGAAACCCTGAGTAAAAAAAATATTTAAACAAAGCTTATATTTTAATATATAATATAATCTATAAAGTTTTGATCTAATCAAACAATTCACATTTAATCTCAAAATTATTATTCTTTGTCCCGCTAATCAAAAGACCCATTAATTAAATACTACTCTTTACCGGATTACAAAGTAGATGCTTCATTTTTAAGTCAATATGACTAAATAAATTAGTCATATATTTGTCTTTTATGTCATCCCCTATATTATACTCCAATTTTAAATTAACAAAAATAAAGTTAGAGATATAGTTACGTGAGCGTAAACTAAAAATATAATTACATGAATACAATATCCTGTGTCTCAAAAATTGTCATATTTTGTTTTTTTCGGAGGGTCAAGCAAAATAAATTTTGATCGATATTTTAAAATATATATTTTCAGTAAATTGACATGAAAAAAAAAATTATAACAAAAAGTATTTTCGTTTAAATTTGAATATATAAATTCTAATATCAAATATTAAATTAATTTGATTTCAAAAAAGTATTGATTTTCGAAAAGCAAAATACGATAACTAATTTAATTCGAGCTACAATAATTTTATGAGAATTACAATATGGGAAATATAACCTTTACAAACAACTAAAATTGAATCAATTACGTGTGGAAATAAAATAAGACACATCCTTTATTTATCCATTTTGCCATCCCTTATCTCCTACTCTATATAGATCTACAAAATAATCAAAAGCTTAACATATTCTAAAACTCTCCTCTTACCAAAAAATAAAAATAAAAAATGGCAAACTATGATCGAGCAAAAGATCTCAAAGCCTTCGATGACACAAAGGCCGGTGTAAAAGGACTAGTCGATTCAGGGATAGTTCATATTCCCAAGATCTTTGTTACACCGGCCTTAACAGAAAATGAGTTCAGTGCTAAGAATCTTGATTCAGACTCAAACATAGTCAACGTTCAAATCCCAGTTATAGATCTAAAGGGTATGAATGGAGACGATTTTCGACGTAGAAGAATTGTTGAAGAGGTTGGTGAGGCATGTAAGACTTGGGGATTTTTTCAAGTTGTGAACCATACTGTGCCACAACATGTTATGGATGAGATGATTAGTGGAGTTAAAAGTTTTAATGAGCAATCAAGTGAGAAAAAGATGGAGTTTTATTCAAGGGATAATTTGAAGAAAGTGAAATTTAATAGTAATTTTGATCTTTATTCATCTAAAGCTGCAAATTGGAGGGATAGTTTAACTTGTGTTATGGCTCCTAATCCTCCTACTAAAGATGAATTACCAGAAGCATGCAGGTAATTTTCAGCTAAAACCCTCTTTGATGATATGATGTTGGTTGTTCTAAAAGAGGAATATAATTTTACTTCTCCGTCTCAATTTGCGTGATATTGTTTGATTTTCAAAATTTAAACCATGTGAGCTTTAATTGATATATTATGATGGCAGAAAGAAGCTAGCAAATAAAAGAGTCTTTCCCTCCTTGATTATGTGTTTTCACATTGATATGAGCAAACTTATAATTTTTTTATATAATTTATATATATATATTTATTTATTTTTTTTATTTTTTTTATTTTTTTATTTTTTTCAAAAATATTTATTTAATTTTGAAGATTGAATAAATTAATTCTCGATAATCGAAAAATGTACTCAAATTGAAATGGGAAGAGTCTAAACTCTAAACTGTGCCACTTAGGTTTCCTTTTTTAATTAATTAATTAGTGGAGAAAGACAAAGTGATTCTTTTTTTCTCCTTTTGTGGCTTACCTCTTAGTAAAATGATTAAATAAATAATTGGTTGTTATCTGCCTCAAATTAATATTGTTAACGGGCCACTAACTCATCACGATAAAAAGGAGCTATCTACTTTATTAATGGTTATATATATACTAGTAAAGAAAGCCCGGGTAGCATTAATAAAGTTATATTGTTACTCTCTCCGTCCCATATTAGATTCAAATCTTACTAAAAATATTGTTTTCATATTATTTGAGCACTTATTAAATTAGGATAGAATTAATTAATTCTTTTCCATTTTACCCCTACAATTAATATGACCATTCCTATATTGTATGTGTATTTTTTGTAACTCATTTCAATGTGCATTGATATAAACAAAGGGCAAAATGGTGAAGTCTTCCAATGTATTAATGATTTCTTAATCACCGTGTAAAGTTGGAAGTGTCCATCTAATATGGGACAGAGGGAGTATAGTTTATGTATTGTTATAAAATTAGTAAAGATTGTTATAATATATGTTGCTCATAAGTGAGCTAATATAGAAACTTAATTGTCATTTGTCTTTTTAATTTCAATTTTAAATAGCAAATAAATGTAGCGATAAGATTGAGGGTAGAAATGAAGCATATCTTTCTAAATTTAAGTAAAAATAAACAGAGTAGAAGTAACATTAGGGTTATCGATAGGACGATTCATTCGGTTATTTTTAAAAAAATTATATCATTCAATTTTTCGGCTATTTATAATGTATAACCAAAATTAAAATTTTAAAATCATCCCAATCCTAATTTATGTGACACAAGCAGTACAAAAATTAGTGTTTTTTTTGTTGTCTTGTAGATATTTTTAAGTTATTATTTATTGTAAATTATAGTACTTTTTATTAAAGTTTTTAATAACATATGTTACTTTTTATGTTTGAGAGTTAAACCAACTTTTTTTTATATGTCTTTTAATTTTATATGTGTTTTATCCTTTTCCATTTTCAAAAACCAATACTCTCTCCATTTTATTTCATATGTCATTTCTTTTTATAAATATATTAGTTATTCCCTCTTCTTATTGGAACACATGTTGACTTGTGGTGAATACTTACTCCCTCTTCTTATATAGTAATACTAGATACGACCCCTTGTCAGCACGTGCCTAATATATATAATTGGAAAAACTATATAAATAAGTCATAAAATTCAAAATAATTACCAGACGTTCATACCCAAATCCAAAGTAATTTCTGAAATACTCATTCTCGCAAAAATAATTACAGCTCATATCCCCAGTCATTAAGACGGATAACTTTCGATAACTGATACTAAATTAGTATCATATAATGTATTGGTATCATTAAGGCTGATATTTTCGCTTAACTGATATTAAATTAGTATATATATAATGTATTGGTATCATTAAGGTTTCTTGTTCAGAAATTACTCATTAGTCAATGATACTATAAGAGTATATGTATATTGTTATGATATCATTAAGATTTCTTGTTCAGAAATTACTTATTAGTCAATGATATTATATGATTATATATATACTCTTATAATATCATTGACTAATGAGTAATTTCTGAACAAGAAACTTTAATGATATCAATACATGCAATATATATATTGATCTAGTATCAATTGAGCGAAATTATCAATATAATGATATCAATACAATATATAATATTGGTTTAGTATCAGTTAAGCGAAATCATCGGTCTTAATGATACCAATACAATATATGATACTGATTTAGTATCAGTTATGTGAAACTAGTTGGGGGTATATAGTGTAATTATTTAGTGGGGGTATGAATGTAAAGAGATATATATATGTTTGTAAGTATTTTACTTTTATGGGGTATTTGCTTAGTTTCCCCTTTATTTTTTTATCCTAATTAATGTGATACAGATGGAACTTGAGAAGTTATTTAAATTTTAATATGCTTTTTAAAAATATTTTAAGTTATTAATTATTACGATTTATAATTATTATTTTTTATATAACTTTGAAATAATATATATTATTTCGTTGTCCCAATTTATGCGGTACGACTAGAATTTCAAAAACTAATCATTTATATGTATTTTAAATATTTCAAGTTATTAATTATTGTAATTTGTAGTATCTTTTACTTTTTATGTCCCAATTTATGTGACATTGATATATTTTAGAGAGTCGGCCAAATTTTTTATGTCTTTTGAAATTCTTAAGTCGTTAATTATTTTAAATTTTATTAGTTTATTATATTTTACATGAAAATAATATATTTTTTGTTCAAACGCAACAACAAAGAAAGCCCAAAATAAGTGAGTATAATATTACAAAACATTACATCTGATAGAACGTGTAGGTCCGAGTAAGTCCTAACATCACCAATATGCCTTTTTAGGCATTGAAAAAAGGGCTCAAATTTCAGTATATTTACTAATGCAAATTACCCCAGACATGTTGACGAACAACTGCTTCCTAGACTCTTCTATATATATATATATATATATATATATATATATATAAAGAAAGGTGAGGTGAGGTTGGAAATTTAAGTTTCTTTTAAGTTCGTTTTAAAAGAATGTCTTTTATCTTTTTTCGTAACAATTCTTTAATTCTAACTATTTATTGTTTTTTTTTTTTCTTTTGTTAGGGAGGAACTACTTCAATATTCTGAGCATGTAAGAAAGTTGGGCCATACAATATTTGAGTTACTAGCAGAGGCACTTGGGCTTAAGCCCAATCACTTATTGGACATGGACTGTGCAAAAGGCCAATTCATTATTAGTCATTACTATCCACCTTGTCCTGAGCCCAATAAGACTCTTGGAATCACTAAACATACTGACCCAGATTTCTTCACAATTCTCCTACAAGATCAAATTGGTGGCCTTCAAATTAATCACCAAAATCAATGGATTGATATACATCCTGTTACTGGAGCCCTAGTTATCAATCTTGGTGACCTTTTGCAGGCAAGTATATCTAGTCGGTCAGATTTACTATTTACATTTTAAAGATATACATACATATTATACATGAATTATACATTCACTGACTATTTTAAAAGATTGGATGGACGATTGTTTAAGTTAATTCTTCTAAAATTAGATTTACATGTGTCTAGTCACTAGTGATTTTGATCAGAGGTGAATCTAAAGTGTAAGGATAGGTTATATTGGACACATTGTTTTTAGTGTATTAATATATGCATAGATATACATACATAATATACATGAATTATACATTCACTAACTTTTTTAAATGACTAGTTGGACGATTATTTAAGTTAATTCTTCTAAAATTAGATTACATGTTTCTAGTCACTAGTGACTTCGATCAAAGGGGAATCTAAAGTGTTAGGATAGGTTATACTTGACACATCGTTTTCAGTATATTAATCTATATGTGAAAGATCATGAGAAAGACTTACCGGAAGATATCTCTTGTGTGACCTGATGGTGTAAGAAAATTATATTGAACGATGTATATATATAACTTAAACTCATTTTGCAGCTTCTATCAAATGACAAGTTCAAAAGTGCTGAGCATAGAGTATTGTCAAAACAAATTGGGCCAAGGATTTCAATTGCATGTTTTTTCACAACTCAATTTCAGCCATTTGATACACTTTATGGCCCAATAAAAGAATTGTTGTCTGATGAAAATCATGCTTTGTACAAAGAAACAACAGTGAGAGATTATGTATCTTATTACAACTCTAGAGGACTTGGGGCTCACCCTTCCCTTCTTCATTTAAGGCTCAATCCATCCATTTGACACGTCTAATAAATGCTCGAAATATTGGACATGTATCTACTCCTTCATGATTTGGTTTTCGACTCGTGGAATTATCATGTTTGTAGATTGTGTTTCAATCTCCATTTCAAATGAGTGTAAACAAAGAAGTGAAGAAGGATTTATTTAGTCAAATCTTATTTGAGACTGATGCGTAGTTATTTTTAATTTAAGTAATTGCAATGATTGAAAGGGGTTACTTTTGACAAGAATGACACATGAATTGAAAATTTTATTTCTTTTGAACCCTAAGAATACGATGTGATTGTTATGAGAAATGTGTTTGAGTGTTAGTAATATGAAGCAACACCATTAGGTCATTTGCAAAGGCAAGCCAAAATTTGAAGTTTATGATTCTTGATTCTAGCCTCTCTGATCATTTGGTCAATGAGGTAAAAAATTATGTATAATCCCAAGATAAATTGTGGGGTGAAAAAGTAACTTGTACGCGAATCAACTCCATGACATCGAAGCCATGTACAATATATTACTCAAGAATTAGAAGATGGTATCCGAGAAATAGTTGTAGACACGTGATTTTTGACCTATCGTCACTACATATCAAACTTCCTTTTAAAAAAATGAGATTACAACAGCTTCAGTATTCAAAAGAATTGAAGTCTTTAAGGCATTTTTAACACTTTACTACATCTGTATTGAGTTCTTCATCATGAGTATTTCCTACATCAAACTCCTTATTAGCTGATGCTTCTACTTGTGTGTGTTTCAATTCCTCCAACTGCAACAACAATAAAATTATACAACGTTAACACAACGATTACTATGTCTAAGTCCAAACATGTCAGAGTCGGCTACATGAATCCTCACTTCTCCGTTTAAGCTCAACTCATTGTCATCATTGTACCAAACAAGACTAAAATCTATTCTCAACTAGTAGATATCACTAATATGGATCTTTCTAGTTCATTGTGCCTCATCTTTGGCTAAGTCTGCATTAATTTCAAGAAATTGTTTATCTTTCGAGATAAGTTCCTTTTATGTGATTTTAGGTCTACCTCATCCTCATTTAGCACTCTCATTGACCACACCTATGGACTGGTGCATTTGTAGATCGACGCAACAAAAACAATCATCTGAACTTCTAGAGAGCTTAGATATTACAGTGAACCAAGTCATACCTCTCTGCATCTTTCTTGGTTTTCTTTTATAAGTTCATTATACTTGATTTGCAGATCTGATAACTCGGTTTGTAGCTTTTCATATTCAGACAGTGATGGACCGCCTAACTTTTGCTGGACAAATCTGAGAGATCAGAAACCAAACGATCGTTTAATATAAGTTCTCTAACAAAGAAAGACCATAAAACAATAATCAGCACAACCATGAGATGATAAGAAGACACTCGAGTAAAAGCTTTGTGCCTATTAATATGCATGTCTATTTTTAAGATGACACCAAGATATGATCAGTTTTCCAGCCAACCTGAACATTATAGTTACAAGATATGTTATTAATCATCTACAACATTTTGCTTTGAAGGACAATTTTCACATAGACACAGTCCAAATCAGAAACAACATGCACCTTGTATCATGGGAAGTGACAGAGTTTGGTACTTTTTTAAGAATACTTACTCAAGAGCTGAAGAAGGTTTGTCATTCTGCTCGTATAGTGCAACAAGGACTACAATGACAGGAAAAATGTATAAAATGAGGTCAAACTCTTTCAAATAAAAACAAAATGAAGATTAAAGGTGAGCATTCACACTAACTTAGGAAGTAATTAGAGACCACCTTTGGTTAGAGCATCAAGAACTCCACTGGCCTCCAGATACTTCCTGAAACCTTCTTTCTTTGCTTCCTTTTCCTGTCAAAAGCACCAGATAAGTTAATTCAACACAGGAAAGGGAGGCGTCTATAAGATAACGGCACATAGCAGATAAGGTAACAAATAGCACAGAATTTCAAGGTTAAATACTAGACAGGCTTTGTTTCTTAAGCTCTTTGAATCACCATTATTCTAAATTGTCCATATCCTCTATGTAGATTTCTTCACATATATGTGCACTTGGGGAGGTTGTGGGAGGGAGTGTCAAATTTGCAAAAATGGATAGAATAAGTCGCTCTCCCATTCTCCCTTGTTACACCAAGAGTTTAGTCTCATTATGTGAATATGATAGCAAAAAAGCTCAAGTTCAAAGGGCACCTGTACCACATATCTCATGCACCAACAATTTTTGTGAGCCAGATGTTACCTATCAAGTCATCAGTCCGCATTTTTCTCAAATTGATATCATCAATCTATATCACCCAGAATGTCAAGTTAGTATTCATCTTCCCCAAACAACACCATGTCATTGTTAGTCAGCACTATGGTATAGTCACATCATCACCTCGTCAGCACCAAGTTAGTGCAACGTGATTAGGTGCAACTGGAAACATGCACGTCTTAGTCAACAGTCTAATCAAACCACGGGACATGCATGCCCTCAATTTCATTGACGTTAATATCAAATTTTGGAGTATGAGCTTTAGAGGAAGGAAGTTGAGCTCAAATCTTTGCATATTGACATTGGATGTTCAACATGGGTGGTTAGCCAATGGATAGTACTACCACTCTCAAATATTTTGATCTATATGGACATAAGTACATTAACCACATAATAGTCAGACTAGCTCCTATTAACATGGTTAAAACAAACTCTTTGAAGTCTAGACGCAACATGGTAATCATTCTATCACTATGTTAATATAGAGGTGGTTTCAAAAATAAATATTTTATTGATATATGATACTCAAATTGATAAAGTGATTTGAACCACTTATTGTAAAAACGGGGATTTTACCCCCTTTATCCAATACTGAATCGATGGCTTATTCCAAGTAAGCAGAGCTTTTCCGGATTTGAAAAAACACTTTGCTGACAATTACACATGGAGTATTTTATATTTTGTCAGAAGAGTCCTCCAAATATTTTGGCTCTCATATTAGTTTCGATATCTTTTTGGAATATGAACAAGGAAGAGAACATAGGCTAATTAAATTCATAAAAAAAGATGTGAGAATTTACCTTAAGTAATTGAGCGTCAGAGCCAAATAAATTGAAAGATTCATGTCTGGTTCGGGAACTTGAAAATGGAAAAATCCTTTATCCACTCACAAGAGAAGGATGAAATGTGGAAGGAAGAGGAGTTACTGCTTTTAACCAAGTCAAAAAGATTGTTACAACTTACAACTTAAACTCAATCAACTAACCACCTTTCAATGGAGTGTGGAGCAAATGAAAGTCGGTTTTCGTGAACTTAAAAGGTTATCCGGTGTGGCAAGATGAGTAAAGGAGACTGCTTAGTGAACAATTAACTACTACACACAGGTTTTTCTTATACATAGTGTGGACATCCTCCTTCCAACAGAATACATCTACACATTTTGTTATATCCTTTTTGTTCATCTATGGATTGAGTAACAGAGATGTTTGCGTACCAGACTATCAATCCAATCATAGACCTTAAGCTGGGTATGCAGAACTGCAGCTAAACATGCAGCGGACTTCACTGAATAAGCCCACTCCCAGAATAGCAGCTATCTACAGTGTTGAAACACTAATCAAACCTAAGAGAAAGACCATACAGATATAGGCACATCTACCCTTTTTTCAGCTGATGCTGCTGAAACGATATCTTTTTGATAAATGCAGCTGAACTACGTACCAATATATAGCTAAAAAGTTCAACTTCAGGTCCCAATGTCACTAGAGTAGTGGGTGTAGTTCTGCACTCACTCCCTTAAAACCTTGAATTTGCCTCTGAGTTATTAGATAGACAGCAATTATGTAATTTCATCAACGGATCAGTCTATCAAGCTTTATCAGAATTCCCTTCTTTTAGTCTTGAGTAATGAGTACACATATGCACATTGACCATGCCCAAGAACACAAATTTAAGTAAGTGGGTGCCAAGTACCATTACACACACTATGATGATGGGCAACTACTTGCTATACATACATAGACTTATCAGAACTGAATCTTTTTAAACTTCCTAATTAGGCAAAGAACTCCATTGTAGCTGACTATTACAGTGAAAAAGAAGCATTCTTTTCTGAACTAAGAACCAGAAATGGAAGGTAATTCTAAGTTGTTAACAACAATGTCAAGCAGTACAAAGAAACCAAAGCTTACCCATATCTTCTTTTATTCTTGAGTACAAATATTCACATTGAGAATGAACAAGAACACAAAATAAAGTTAGCAGTTGCCAAGTACCATTACACACACTTGGTATAAATACATATACAATAACAACAACACACCCTATGTAATCCCACGAGCGGAATCTGGTGAGGATGGGATATACACAGCCTTACCCCTACCTTATGAAGGTAGAGAGTTGTTTTCGATAAACACTCAGACTCAAATAAAACATAAGTATGTAAAACAAACACAAAACTGTAGCAACAACAAAATAATAGGATACTTGAAGCAAAGTATTGGTATAAATACATAAGACTTATAAAAATTGAATCTTTTTTACTTCCCAATTAGGGGAAGAGCTCCACTGCATTATAACTGACATTTTACAGTGAAAAAGAAGCAATTTTTTTTATGAATCAAGAAAAAAAAAGAAGATAATTTCCAAGTTTTTAACAACAATGTCAAAGATTACAAAGAAAATGAAGCTTACCATTCCTTTAATTCTTCTTTTTCAATGGGATTTCAACTTCCAAGCTACTTCAATGGTGAATTTCGTTTACCCCTTTTAGGTAACAGAGTTAGATCCGGGTTTTTTTTCTCTCTTTTTTAATTTAAACTTTTGAGAGTATTTCCATGGCATATTAATGACGGGATGTACGTAATCTTACTCCTACCTCGAAATATTACCATCGTAATATTCATAAATATATCCTTCACTTCCCAAACATATATTTTTACATTAATATTAAGTACTAATTATAATTCTTAAATATCCTTTTTGTCTAATAATAGTTATCCACTATTAATTTGACATATTCTTAAAAAATAATAAATAATAGGGGTAATATTGCTATACTATCTTTTGACTTTATTAAATTTAACGCTTTGATAAATACATATTTAATAGCAAGGGTAAAACAGATACAAAAAGTAATTTATCTCTTAATTTTTTAAATTGAATAAATATTGTTGAACAACTATTTTTAATATAATGAAGACTCAACTATTATTTGATGGAAGGAGTATATATTTATTTCACATATAAAAGGTTTAAATTCAAGTGAAGGGAAAAATACTTTTTGTTTTTTTTTACTTATCTAAACTTTAGTGGATAAATTTATCTCATACATTACTGAAAAATAATAGGTACCTTATAAAATTAAGAAAAGTATTGAAAACATTTTGTTTTCAAACTATTAACAACGTTGGAAACATCCCTTTACGTGACTAACTAAACATAGACACACCTCCAATCTCACTCATGTTGTAAGATCGAAAGTATATTTAAATTCAATTAGTCAAATAAAGAGATATTTGAGTGTTTTCAATGCTTTCTCGGATCTCTTTTGAAAAAACTTGGATACATATAAGAAACAAATATCACAATTAAGTTCTCTTACTTTTATTAATTTTCCATTCTGGTCTAAAGTATAAATAAAGGGAAGAGACAGAATTTTTATTTATTTTTTCTTTACTATTAGTAGTTTAGTACTTGTGATTGTTTAACGAACACCAACTGTTCGACAAATTGTCTCTGTAAAAGATTGTAACTTCATATAACCAAAATCAAGATTCTGAAATCTGATCAGCAGATATGGAGACCAGTAAAGAGGGAAATGCCGCTTTTCTCGATCGTACTTCTCGTGCTACTAGAGGGAAACGGTAAATCAAGAAACCCAATTTTAATCAGTTCTTAATTTTTTGTTTTATTTTTGGTTTGGGGATTGTTTGTTGTGTGTATAATTTTGTGGGTTGAGCTTAATTTAACTTTATTTCTTGTAAAAATGGGATTTTTATATGACAGGATGACTAAATTGTTGGATGATGAGGTAGAAGAGGATGAACTTTTCTGGAATCAGGAAGCTCTTAAAGATGTACGTTGTTTTTTCAATAACATGTTACTACATTATTGTGTTTATTGTTATTGTAGTTAGTAGGTAGCAACTTAAGCTTAATGTTTGTATAGAATTGGGATCTGACGAGAGTAGAGTGTATGCAAACCTTACTACTACATACCTCAGAGGTAGAGAGGTTGTTTCTGATAGAACCTCGGCTCAAGAAGGAACAAATTTATAGAGAAAAGAACATCTTTTTGAAACTTTATGGAAAAAAAGATCATTTTTTTCTATCCTGGATGGTTTTTTCGTGAGGGGTTGGGGGCAGAGGTGGAGCCGGGGTTTGAAACTTATGGGTTTGGGATTCTTATCTTTTTAAGCTTTGGGTTCTAAAATTAATAATTTGTACTTATTCGATGAGTTTTTAATACAAATACAGGGTTTGGACCAAAGTTGGGGGGTGTTGTCAGGAGAAAAATATGCATTGACCATGTTAAGTTTATATCAATTGATGGATGGTAAGGGGAAATGATAGGTCAACTATGTCTAATTTAGGTTTAAGAAGTTCAAATAAAATTGGGAAGAATTGCCCCAAACCATATGTGCAGGAGCCTTTCAAGTTGCAGAACATTTCATCAATTACTGCACCCTTCATCTGTCTCTTTGTGCCTAGGTATCCACTGTAAGTTTCAGAATAGAATGGAGAATATTCATAAAGTTGATCATTAGGAGTCTTACAAAGAGTTTGGATAGGCATGTTCAGTGGAAACAAGAAGGGATTCGTTAGCTTGTTATTTAGTAGGAAACAGTGAAATGGATTCTGGGTTGGAAAGTTTGTGAACTAAGAAACCGGAAGCTTTAGTATCCGATGCGTGTTTAATGTGGATTATTGAGGCAGATTGAAGTGCAACTGCTACTGGCTTTTTAGAGATTCACGTTTCTTTGCTTTCTCTGGCAAGTCCAAAAATAGCATAAGAGCTCAAAGAAAATGATATTTCTTTTTTGATAAAGGAACACCAAGAAAATGATGAAAACTGATGTTTCTCAAATATGGACGTAATTGTGCTTCTAAGGAGAATATAACAAAGGAAAGTTTGTACTGTGAGGACTTAGGTTCAAATCCTATCAGAGACAAAAAACATTAGGTGATTTCTTGAGACAAAAAACATTAGGTGATTTCTTACCATCTATTTGTCCTAGCTTTGGTGGACAGAGTTACCTGATACCTGCTTGTGGTGGGAGGTGGCTGGTATCTGATAGAACTAGTCGAGGTGTGCGTAAGCTAGCCCACACACCATGGTTATCAAAAAAGAAAAGTTTCTCTGGAATAACTGCTGCCTCTTTACTTTACTTGTCTAAAATAATGATGATAATTATAACAACACAGCCTCCATTATTCCCAGCAGCACTAGTTTGAGTGAAAATGACTGCTGCCTCCATTATTCCTAGCAGAAGTAGTTGGAGTGCAATCTTTTACTCAAACCATAGGCCTTGACATCTCGTATCCATGGTTGTAACCGGGCCTGAATGTTTTGATATTTTAATTGGTTTGGTGATCCAGAGCCACCAACCTTCCGTAAAATATTTGGTTTGTGCTTGTTTGGCAAATTTGCTAATTGAATTTAATGAGCTTTTGCTTGGATGCAAATCAGGAAGAGAATGACATTGAATATGAAGAGGAAGGGGAAGCTGTGGATGTTTTTGACAGTGACTTTGATGAAGATGTAAGTACTAAGTGTTCCATTTCTCATCACTGAACCTTTCATTTCTCAAATTTAGTGATGGATTGGTTACTTGTACTGGAAGTTCTAGCTTGGAAGGGTATGTTATTCGATAATTCTGTTCTCGTATGACCTATGTTAAAAATGACTTCCCTAATATTGTTTCAGGAACCCGAACCTGATGAAGAAGGAGAAAATGAACCAGATGACAGGTTTGACACATTCAAGTTGATGGGAAGTGTCCTTTTAGCTCCATATGGATAGTCCTTAGATTATACTCTTCTCTTTTCTATGGCAGGACACGGACCAAAAAGCGATTGGTCTATCCAGGAAGACCACCTGCAAAGAAGAAAAAGAAAATGAAAACCCTTACCAAGACAGAAAAGGCACACCAAGAAAATGAAGAAGCTCCAGATCCGTCCACCCCTTCTGAACATCATGATGCTCATGATGATACTGAAGCAGAAAGAACAATTAGGAAATCAACAAGAACGGCTGTCGTTGTAAAACAAGCTGAAAGGGAAGCCATTCGTGCAGCCTTGCAGGCAACAACAAAGGTGTGGTGTTTGCACTATAATGCTATTTTTCACGATAGTACAACTAACAAACTATAATTTCTTACATGGCAGGCTTCTTTATTTTCTGGATTTAGGACACAACCCTTTTATTCTTGTTTATTTATTTAGTTTGTAATCCTGTGCGTGTGCTGGTTTTTCTTGATTTCAGAAAACATTACTTGGACACTGAAATTAGAATTTGTTTTTATTTTCTACCACAATTCTGTTGCATCACTATCTTCTGATTATGCTTCTGATTCTTCAGCCTATAAAAAGAAAAAAGGAAGGGGAGGAAAAGAAGATGACTCAAGAAGAGATGCTTCTTGAAGCAGCTCAAACAGGTTTGGGTTTATTTCTTTACTCTATAAAATTGCTTTCAGTTCCTATCTGTGCACTTTTCACTATGATATGTAACCTGTCTTTGACAAAATTGGCAGAGGTCATGAATCTGAGGAATTTGGAGCGGGTTCTAGCAAGGGAAGAAGAAGTCAAGAAAAAGGCCATCGTGCATAAAGCAGTTTACAATGGTCCTCAGATACGATACATATCCAAAAACGGCAAGTTCCTTACTATAATTTGGGACCCCTAAAGCTTGTACCCTCTTCTCTATATCATAAAACATTGAGTTAATGGTCAAATACACACATAAACAATCACTTTTTCATGAATTTTATACCTCAACTATCCATTGTTTGCTTTACCTACCTAAACTTATCACTCCTTTTGTATCTAAACACACCTCGATATTGAGTTGGCCAAATGCTTGTTCCCAATCGACAACAGGCGCATGTAGGCCAACTCAGCATCGAAGTGTGTTTTAATACAAAGGAAGTGATAGTTTGGCTAGGTAAATTGAACAATAGATAGTTGAGGTATGAAACATGTGAATAGGTGATAGTTTAGGTGTACCCTTCGGGGTGGCCCAGTGGTTTGGGCTTGGGACTTCCATGTTGGAGGTCTCAAGTTCGAAACCCCTTGCCAGCGAAAGCAAGGGGTTTGCCTTCTGGGTCGAGCTCGTCGCACCAGGCTTGCCTAGTGCGGGTTACCTCTCCTATGTGGTTTGCAAGCTATTGCATAGGAGCGGGGGTTTTACCCTGTGCACACCCAAAGGGTAGCGGCTGCGGGTTTCCCTTGTCATAAAAAAAAAAAAAAAGGTGATAGTTTAGGTGACCATTAACTCTAAAACATTCATATGCTACAGTTGCTATCACTTGAAATGCTTTTTTGTTTGATATTCGTGTGAAAATTCAGTTGTTTTCCATCATTCCAAACCATGCATGTTAATGGTATCTTGCTCTCTGCAGGTTCTTCCTACCTAGAATTTGTCAATGGAGCATCTTTCGGTTCACAGATCTCAACAACATCCACTCCATGTAATTACAAGTCTTGATATATCCCTTTCCTCTCAGTTACATTTCCCTAACAATCAGTTTCATAGGCATGGCTGATTCTACATTGTTAAAGTATTTTCAGATGTTTATTGACTGGTCATTTATGATTATTGACTGGTTTCATCTTTACAGACCCCCAGAAGGCAGTGTGTGCGGTTACTGGGTTGCCCGCACGGTAACATGCTCTTTCCACATTCTCGTACTGTTTTTTGTTTTTAGTGAATGCTAGCAATCATGCTCGCTAAAACTTGTAGTTCTAGCCTATTTTCTTATAAGATTCATCCCGTAGAAGGCACCAAGCAGGTGCACAATATTTACAAAATACAAAAGCTCAAACTCCGTTTTAATAAAAATCTGTCAATTCTCAAGGTATTCCGGAACCTTTGAACCAATAAGTCTAACTCCGAGCAGGGCAGTATCCATCAGAGCTAGTCTTTTGAGAGAGAGATCTTATTGCAACTGAATGTTCTGCTCTGGTTAGTGGTTACTCCTCCCTTCTCTTACCTGTCAGTTTAAAATCTCCACCCTAATAACCTCTAGTAGCAGCCAGTTGAAACCACAGGTATCTTCTCTGGCTCCTTCGTTAGAGCTGTAGACCCCCAAGAAGATCCATGTAAATCCATTGTTGGCACTTCACCTTCTTTGGAGAAGTGGAGAACATAAATGGAAATTTGCATTTCCAGATCCTCTTATCCCAGATAAAAGTAATGTCTATTTTTCTTCCTTCAGCCTGTTTAAAAGTGTTTTTGGCCCATCTACTAGTCCATTTTCCTAACTCCAGCGGGTTCCCAAGACACCTTTTTGTCTCTAAATAGACTGTATATCTCAGCTCTCCATTGCAGCATGAACATTTGACAAGTTTGCACAAGTCTGTTATTGAGCCCTCGTACATTCCAACTGATCATATTGAGCTTCATTTATCCTCAGTTCATTGACATTTAGTTCACCATCTCCCAGGTATGTGCTTGCCTGTCATATAATCTCTTTGGTTTCTGGGATGTTTTGAATTTTGTCAGAGAACCTTCCATCCAAACATTTCTCCAGGGTGTTAGTGTTTATTCTGCTGTCTTCTTCTCCATGCAGATTCTGGTCCTGTCGATGACTAATTCTTGTATTCAAATCTGTGAGGTTGGCCATTCAGTTGGTCCAGCGAACTCAGCATAACACTTCGATCTTAATGTTTGAGAAGGTGATGGTGGATAGCTGATGCTTTTCTTTATGAACCTCTGGATTTTACATGCGATAGCTGACCATCCTCCCGGTGTCATTTGTGCTCTGCGACCTCAGACACTTCTTTCATAGTGTTGAAATCCCATAACTACGATTTTCCTTCAATTCCTGTCTTGTTTAGAGAGCTTCTCCTCCTTTCAGTCCAGATGAATATTTCTGCATCTCTTTCAACTTTGCAACAACGTCCAAGATCTTTCTTAGGATTTTGGCATATTTAGAATAAAATACTATTTCTACAAGTGTGCTCTAGAACAAATCTCTCTATACCAACTAATATCCTGATTTTTAACCAAAAATATTCGAAGTGTACATCTATTCTAGTCTTCAAAGTTACTGTAAAGTCTCCAGAAAAAAAATATGTGATGTAGCCTGTTCTGGCTTGATCCATTTGTTTCCGCTCAATCTGTTACCTGTCTTACGTTAGTACAGACACGGGTCGAGTCACACCTCCATTTTGGCTCTTCCAAACAATACCTTCCTTGTTTCTTCTTACTTTGACTCTCTCTCGTCCTCTCTCACACAGAGAGACACATGCACAATCCAATATTGGAGCTCTATACTGTGTTCCCTTGGATAATATTTCTGTGTTTCTGTAAGCTTCCTTTATTTTATTGCCTAAAAAGAGAGATTACATGTGTACATGACCTGTTATGTGTCCTAGATGTATTGTCATCAAGGTCCTTATCTTTCTTTGTAGAATAGTTTTAATTTGGATGTCTATTGTACTATTGACTAAGTGTTGTTTTCATCATTGATATTTTTTAGGTATCGTGATCCAAAGACTGGGCTTCCTTATGCAACTAAAGAAGCATTTAAGATCATACGCGAACGGTAAGAATTTTTAGTCAACTCAATATTGGATGATGATGAATGAAAAACTGTCGTATTATTTCATGGTTCCTGCCTCTTGGTATGATGTGCTGTGATTGTAGTTAGGAGTTGAGTCATTGCAGGCCATACTTGCTGTATGAAGTAACTTATGACTTGGCTTTTACTATAGAATCGGCTTTTCTAGCAAGATCGTGTACGGGGAGAAATTCTATCGTATTGGTTTTATGAATTCTTTTGCATTCTTTGCTTACATGAACAATATTTTTGGCTTTCTTTGTTCGTACTATTGGAATTGAAAAAACTAAAGTAAAGAAAAGATAGGAGGTGGAGTTTATGAAGAAAGTAAACGGAGAAAATGGCAAAAGACTATGATGCTTGCTGTCCTCCTCAACTTTCCTCTTCCTATGCCATTGACTTCTACTTTACTTTCAGATAAGATATTTCTGTAGTTTTCATTGAATCGTGATTTCTAAAGAGAACGGACTATCTCTACACGATGACCGGAGAATGAATTATTAGTCAATAAGTCCTACATTGATAAGATCCCCATAACTTCTCACTTATGGTTTCTGTGTAAAATAAGAATACACCACATGAACTCGGATTAAGTTATGAAAAAGGTGTGTCTGTGCTGTCTTTCCAAAGGTTCAGTTCTTTTAGAACAAGTAGCTGGATTCATATTTGATCCCACCTTACATAATCAGGGGCGGAGAAAGGATGACAGAAGGGGGTCATCCGAACCCCTTTGTCGGAAAAGAACACTCTATATGTAAGGTCAAATCTGATATTTGTGTGTATATATTGCATATTAAACCCCCTTGACACAAGCAAGAACTATTTCGAACACCCTTGATGAAAATCCTGCCTTTACCACTGTGTACATTACGAAAATCAAGTTCCATGTCATTCATAAAGTTACTATTCCTCATCTTACAGGTTTGCTGAGGAAAGTAGCAGGGCTCGGGAGGAAAAGCATATGGACGAGTTGTCTCAGGCAATTTCTGGGCTAGGATTTACCTCGAAACGAAAGAGGTCAATAATTTCAAATAGTAGAAAAACGTCATATACCCCGCGAGTATTTGCTCGTTGCCGCAAGTTTCCTGCTGATGACTCCATGTCTGAGGATTCAGAGTAGACACTATGTACAATTTGATCCTCTTTATTTCTAGACTAGGTTTGTAGAAATGCAGAAAGTAGCATTATTTTTACTTGATTAGCTTGTATAATCAGTTTTAGTCTTAAGAGTTTTAAATGACATTTATATGGTACGAGTTGTAAAAGCATAAGAGCTATTTATATAGAACCACCTTCAGTCATTCTCACATCTTCTGATTCTCTACTTAGTTGTCTTGATTACATCGAAAAATGAAGGAACACATGGCATGTAACACATCTATCAAGCTAGAGTTTACTCCCTATGTTGCATTTTATGAGTAGGTGTTTGATTGACCACAGAGTATAAAGAAGAAAAAAAAATACTTTTGGAACTTGTGATCCGAAAAATAGAATGAAAAATAATCTTTATTTTGTAATTCGTTCTTAACAAATAAATTTTCGAACTTTTAGTTTCTCGAAAGGAAGTTGTCTGAAAGGACTTAAAATTTTATTTTTATTGTATATTATAATAGTTTCAAATGAGTTTCAATAGAGTAACAATGATTAGTAAAAGTTTATATAATCAACCTAAATTTATTTGAGATTGAAACATTGTTATTGTTGTAATGTAACACTCCTTACCTATTAATTTACTATGACATCTTCTCAAAAAATATCTTAATTTGGGGTGAAAAATATCTTATTTTCTGTTTTTTTAAAAAGAGAATAAAATGAGACTTCTCTTCAACAAAAAGGTCAATTTTAATTGTGACATTTTTCATACCTTCTAATTTTCAACTTTTTTGGTCAATATATCGAGGCCCTACTTTCTCCCTAGGTAATAATTACAAGTTCTATCACCTTGATAGAATTATTTGATACTGATATCATTGATGTCCTCATCATTTCGGGACGGACCTAGTTTAAAAGTTATGAATTATATATATATAAAAAAAATACTAAAACATTTAAAATAGTTGATTATAAATTCAGTTATTAAATTGAAATTACAATAAGAATTTATCAACTTTAAATTTTAAATTCGACTCTGATTGTCGGTATAAATTTTTAGATTTTTGCAAGCTACTTCCTACTACTTTCCTAAATAAATTCTCCCAACTTTTTATTTAAATTTAGAGGCAGGCAGTCAAAATTATGGACTGTTGAATTGACATGTAAACCACATATTTTTTGGAGGCTGTGGAATTTTTTTCTTCAGCATGCACATAAAAGTCTACTGAAAAAAAGATATTAGCAAATGTGTGGATTATATATTTTTGCATATTAACTACCACAAAATTTATGACAATATTCGTTATATACCACGTGCATGTTTATTGGGTCGAGGTCATAGGCGGCTCAACATAAATAGAGGTCTAAAACAAAATTTTAATTAGAGACAAATTAAATTTGAAATTCATAAATTTTTATAATGATTTCAAGTTAATATCATGATAAAATAATTGGTACACAATCAAATATTATATTCACGTAAATAGGTGATCGAACTTCTAATCTAGGGTCATGATTTGTTGAAGGATGTGCTAATTAATTAGTATAAAAGCTTGTGCGGTTTGAAAGATAGCCAGAGTCAAAATCTGAAATTTTGAATTTTGAATTTTAATTACTTAAATTTATTACATTTTAAATTAATAATAACTATATACTCAATAGATTTTTTTAAAACAAAAAAAATTTAAACTAAAACTATTAAGTTCGACCAATCCATGACCCATAGTCCCATACTCTAGCTACATCCTAATTAATTAGAAAGATAATATTTATTTATTTAATTGTATCTTCAACGACAATTTAAAAGGCAAATATAATACACCTACTTCTTGACCAAGGTTTATTTTATTTTATTTTAAAAAAAAAAAAATGTTGAGTTGTCCCATATATGTGAGATGTGAGGTATTTGGTCTTTTTATATTATTAATTTTAAGTAAGATATTTGGATAAAGTTAAGCTCAAAATCATATTTTTACTGGTTATCAGAACAGGTAGAGTTTTAGGTTTGAGTTTCAAAATCATCTATCATTTTAAAAAAAAAGTTAAGTACATGATACATAAAACATGAGAAAATAATTAAATAAATAAAAATACATTTTATTTAATTGGATGTTGTTTATTTAATCACTCTTTTATAATTTTGAATAATTCTTCACTTAGCTTTTGAATTTAAATTAATCGAACTACATAAATTTGCACACAGACTCAATAGTTTCACATAACTTTTGTGGTTTTTTTAAATTAAGGCAGGACAAATATTCCACTATATATATGCAATCAATGGATATACTGTAGGAACTTTTATTTTGTTAACACACTTTGAAGATTGATATTAACACCTCTTTATTTACTATGTATCAAGGTTAGAATAAAATGGATAAGCAGAGACGAGTTTAGAATTTAAAATTTAAAATTTAATATTTTAATAACAATTTCTAATTAACATATAATAATAACTAAATTTTATAATTAAATATATATAAATATTTAGTAAATATGAAAAACTTTTAGTAGGAAATATTTTTTTCTTTAATGAATCTTATGTGATGTGAATTTGAATAAGAGGTGGCGGGCTTACATTGAGGCTAATGCCTTTTGTTAATTTTAATGTCACTTCAGTTCTTTTATACTCGTATTTTTTTAAGTTCGTGTTTCCATCCCACAAATGATGTGGGATTTCAATACCTTTTACACACTCAAATCTTTTGCAACGTGGACAATATAAGACAAAGGACTCAATATCGAAAATAATGAATTAAAATGGTCCGGCTTGATACTATTTAAAGAAATAAATGATGGGTTTAATTCAACCACAAGAACTAGTTGTTAAAGTTGAGTTAAGTCGAAGATCCATTTTTTTAGAAGATATCAAAAAAGAATCCATCTGAAGTATTATTTTTCGATATTGGCTCCCCATATTATATTGTCCACTCTTCATATGTTCAACCCTGGACGTGGAAGAGAAGGAGAAGGGGAGGGTATGAAGAATCCCACATCAAATATTGTTTAGGGGATGTGTATTCAATATGGCTTAGACATGAATCCCCACCTCTAACTTTTGGGGTTGACTATTGAGTCATACCTAAGATCTATTCCCTCCGTCTCATATTAGTTAATCATTTTTTATTTTTCACGATGCTTAAGACATCATAAATTAGAAGATAATTAATTTACTAATTCACCCCTTAAAAAAAAATTGGAGAATTTTACAAACAAATGTGAACACTTTCAAAAAATGGAATTAATTGCAAGGGTATAACATAGAAAAAAATTAATAAATACTTTCTTGATTTAATAAGGTGGACAACTATTTTTAATATTTATGATCAACTAATATGGAACGGGGGAGTATTATTGCTAATAGTTATGCCCTCGCCATCTTCAACTCTTGGGTCCGCCTTTGATTCAAGTTAGTCCGAACACCAATATAGATACCAGAAACCAAACAAAACAAAAAAATCTATGTTTCCTCATGCATGGTCATGTCACAATCTTAATTCCCTTGACTATACTTCATTCAAACACTAGAAGCTACCTTCCTCTTTCTTTGTTGGAAATTTCTTCAATATCCTATATGTATAAATAGCATGCTTTCAAGATTTTCACCTAGACACAATATTTAAGCACAAATACAAATATCCAAAGATATAAGAGAGTGTGTGTGTTTTTTAAACTTCATGGATGAGCCAAATCAAAGAAGAGAGCCTATAAAAGTGAAGTATATAGATAGTCCAGTGATGGTAAATGCCAAAAATGCAACTGAGTTTAGGAACATTGTTCAACAACTCACTGGAAAAACACCACAAAAAATGTCTAGTGGTGGCACAACAATTGAGTGTTCAAGTGTCAAAGCACATAGTAATAGTAATAATAATAATAATAAGAATGTGGATGAGTTACTATGGAAAGAACTTTCACAAGGCATATCCATATATCACTACTTAGATTACTAGTGTTTTATGGTTCTCTCTTCTTCTTTTTTTCCTTGGGATGCGGTTCTTTCTCGAATCTTGTTAACCTGGGATGCTTTTGTATAATGGAGAATCAAAGTGATGAATAAATTCATCAAGTGTATTCTAGCAATAAATTTCTTTGTTTTCCATTTTACTTTACGTATGATCAAATTCAATTTATATGTCTTACTTCGATTAGCTAGCATGGAGTTTGTTAAACTTTATTTCTAGGCTCGATCCTGGATCCATTCAACATTTTCTCATTGTCCCTTCATTATCATTCGTTCGTATGGACAAGAGCGATTTTTACCCCATACAAATAACAATAATTAATATTTTTTTAATATAATCATCCTCACATAGTACAAAAATTCTCGTCACGTCGAACATGTGTCTTTTTCTATGTATATAAAGAATTCAAAAATTATGGATCTTTACTAAAATATGTCAAAAAGGGAACAAAAATCTACGACGATATTTTTGACTCTTCTCATCACAAGTCATCAACAACGACCATGAGGATATTTTTATTTATTTATTTATTTATTTTATTTGGACTTGCAGATCATATTATATAATAGAGTTTCCATCTTCCATTTTTTTTAAATATTTTTTTTGATAAAGATAAAGAGATAAAACTTAGTTATACATCATCTTTACATGATGATATCATTCATGATGTACGTTATACAAATAATTTTAAACAAATACTTTGAAATCCTACTTATATCATCAATTTTTAAAATATAAATTCTTCATGTTCTTTGATATTTAAAGCTACGTATGTGGTTGGAATATGCATGATAGAAACATTTATCAGACAAATATATTTATACCAAAATAATAAATATATATTTATATCGAGAAATTTTAAAATTAATCATGACTAATTAAGATATATTATATTCTCACCTTATTATGCAAAAAATAATAATTAATAGCTTTATGATATCATAATATAACACAAGTTATGACTTAGAAGGCATAATAAGTTATATGCAGTTAATTAATTCATACCTAAGTCATTTGAGGCATAAGATTAGTTTATAACTAACAAATAAGGCATACCTATGTTTCGGAATGTTATGTCTTAAGAAGTTCATACATTTTAATATCATATTTTTTGTAAAATATCTCGTGAACTTCATACCTAATAAAATTATTTCGAACTGAAATAAATATAATATTAAATAAGGCACGTTATTCCAATAAGAGAGCGTGATTATAGGTCAAATGAGAACTTTAAAACTATTAA